CATTTGTTTTCCTGCTTGCTTGCTTGCTTGCTTGCTTGCTTGCTTGCTTGCTTGCTTGCTTTTGGTGGTGGTGGGGACAGGTGGGTTTTGTTTCGGATGTGAGAGTTGGTATATAGGTGTGTGTGTGTGTGTGTGTGTGTGTGTGTGTGTGTGTACATGTACTCTGATTGGCCTTGACTTGCTATGAAGTCAAGGATGATCCTGAATTTCTGATCCTCCTACCTCTCTGGTGCTAAAATCCACCACGGCCAGTTTTATGTTGTCCCAGAAATTGAATCAGAGAGTCGTGCCTGCTAAATAAGCACTCTCTTAATTGAGCTACACCCCAGCCCCAGCCCACAGACTTCTCTGTGTGTTTGTCCCTGTGTGTGCTGGTGAACGTGTGTGCTGGCAGACATGTGTATGCTGGTGGACGTGTGTCCTGATGGACATGTATGCTGGTGCATGGCGCAAGTACTTGTGAAGACCTAGGTGTCTCTTCTCAGCCACTGTCCACCTTATCTTTTGATAGAGGCTCTCACCAGCCTGGGAGTGTTAAATAGGCTAGACCCACTGGCCAGTGAGTTTCAGGGACCCATGAGTCTCCACTTCCTGGTGCTGGGATGACTACCCTCAGGGTTCTGGAGATCCAGCCCAGGTCCTAACGTTGAATAAACAGCTCTTTGCCAACCATGCTCCCTCAGGTGCATTCCTTGAGAACAAAGGCAACGTGTTCCTCAGGGGTCAACCTCACATCTGGTACTCCGGAATAAAGCTTACAATGATCAACAGTCGGTCTCAGGGCGGCGGGCTGAGGAAGCTGGGAAGCAAAAAGGGGCTATAAGGTTCGAGAAATGAAAGCTTTTAGCCATGGGTTTACAATGAATTGGGTGGGGGGAAGACTAGGAATTCCCGGACAGGATGGGAAGGACACGGGAGAAGCTGTCACCTCCACATTTATGCATTAAGTAACAAGGTGGCTAAGTAGATGTACGTCCAGGTAGCTCTGGAGGAGGGGCTAAGACAGCTTAATCTTGTCTGCTTCTTTGGAGACGAGTAGCCCTGAAGTAGTCCCCATTCCTGGGGACCCAGCTTCTAAGACAAACTGCTGTCGGGTACAGGGGACCAGTCAGGCCTGGAAGGACACCGTCAAGGAGACAGGGATACCTAATACCTCTGCAGGGCAATCGAGGGGCGGGGAACTGGGTTGGAAAGAAGGGAGGATCAGGTGGAGAGGCAGCAAGGCGACCCTGCGCACTCAGCATGGCCCTCAAGAAATGGGAGGCAGGTCCAAAGAGAAGTTTGTCCCTGAGTCTTCACAGACTGTTTCACATAGTGGATGTCTCCTGACAGCTCTTATCAAGGGGCTGCTGCTATTGCCTGCCCAAGGCCTCTCTTCTCTCGCTGCTGTACTGCTGCAGTGGACAGCTATCTGGGGGAAGCAGAAGCGACCACAATAAATTTAGTATCATCTAAAGGAGTCCTCAGAAGCCAGCATTAGGGGACTCAGCTCAGGGACGGAAGTGCCTGGTTTCCCATGAAAGCTCTAGAAAATGGCCAGCCTGGACCCTGCCTGGGCATCTAAGAAAACAAAAGACAAAATATAGACGAGTGACAGCAACTGAAGCCACATTGCACCTCCTGTCCACCTATGTCATCTACAGGTTGCTTGTGGTGGGACCCAAGCAAAGTGAGCTGACATCATCTGGACAAAAAGACCATCTCATCCTTGCCTTTCTACACTTGAAGGCTAGCCTTGCTCTCTTCCAAGGCCCAGGCCCAGCCCATGAGTTTCTACAGAGGAGTTTCCCCAACTGCCAAGACGCTCCACTGTAAAACTGTTAAGAACATATTTGTTAAATTTCTGTACAGACTAAAAACATAAGCCATAACTCTGTAGCCGTTGCCAGGGTTTATTAGGACAACATAAAGAGGACTTCTCTGACAGCCCCAGCAGTCTGGCTGTAGGGGTGTGGCTTTTACTTTGGTTCTGAGGTAGGATCTCGCCAGTTATTAGCAGTGTGGGTCGTGGGTAGGAGCCAGGGCCCTCTGAGGGCTCCTCAGACTTCAGCATAAAAATCATTTGGGGTACTTGCTAAAAACAAAGCTCTGACTCTCCCTGCTCCCCCTTGTTCCCCAAGATTGAACTGGGCTCTGATTTTTATCAAGATTGAACTGCCCTCTACCCCCCATCCCCACTTCCCCTACCTGACAGGCAGAACATAGAGCCTCCAACAAAGGCCTCCAACTGTGAACCTTAGAAACAGGTGGAGCTTCCAGCTCAACTTACGGGTACCATCCATGATATGGATATGACGTCATATGATATCATATGATATGATGATATATATCATCATCCATGAAGAGATTTAGCTCTTTCAGCCTCACATAAAATGCTCCATGGAGACAGGCTTGCAGTCAACCCCAAGCCTAGGCTCTTGCAGGGGTGCGTCCAGCTTTGGTGGGGCTTCAGTTAGATATTCTGGAAAACCTTTTTTAAAGTGAAGTTCAGGTGGGGGTATCTGGAGCAGGTTACTTGCCTACATGTGCAAGGCCCTTGAACACACCTCTAGCACCACAAGAAAAAAATAATCAAAATTACCCTCTCCCAAATCCTTAATCCTGTGATGGCTTGCCTGCTGCTCTGTAAGAAGCCCTCACCTTTCCCTTCCTCCTTTCTCATTTGGCTCCTTCGTTTCTTGATGTTGGGTGGTGATGACAGTGACCAAACTGGCAGGGGCTCGTGTCCTTTGACAGAGCAGCAGACCTTATACCCACAGATTTCAAGGAAACTGGGCTCTGGCCATACAGATCTCCAACACCAACCACTGACGTTTAAGCACTGGCCTTTCTATCACTGGTGTGGGCAAGCTCCATCAGAGTCAGTCTGATGCCCTAGAACAGATACATGGTACCAGTGATTGTGAAACTGCCTTTCAATTTGGGATTGCAATCTGGCCATATGCAAAAGCATCCTAAATCCAGGTATCTGTCATAATTCAGTGGTTCTATTTGTATTATATTCAGGCCAAATATAATTCTAAGCAGCAAGCAACCTAGACTCCTCTACATAATAAGAAAAAGAAAGAAAACTAGTAAGCCCCACACCTTTTATCATGTACCCAGCATTGCACTTGGGGCTTCCCATGTTTAACTGCTTATGCTACTATTAGTAATGTGAGCGTATATTTATCAGAATTAAAATCTGTAGTTAACGGCAGTAACGTGGTTCACTGATAAGGATGCTTAATTCCAAGCCTGATGGCTTGATTTTGATTACTGGGATCTATTGGTAGAAGAGAACTGATTTCCATAAGTCATCCTCTAACCTCCACATGCAAGCCCTAGCATATACACACATGCACACACGCATGCAGGCACACACATATGTATGCATGTGTGAACGAATACACATGCACACGCACACACACGCACGTGCGAATGCACATACACACGTGCACACATGCACACAGGTGCACATGCACGCACACACATATTGCGCACTCACATACGGGTGCGCACGTACACATGCACACACACACACGCATACTTGCACGTGCGCGAGAGCACACACACACACACACACACACGATAAATGTAATCTAAAATAAAAATTAAGTATGTAGCCAAATCCACAGCTTTCTGAAACCCACTGCTCACCAGGCCTTGATGTCTGGCATAGGTTGATATGTCCAACACAGTTCATTTCAGTCCACCTATGGCATAGCAACCAGTTCCCAGATGCCCCGAACATTTAGCAATTGGTTCTAGCAAGCTACACTGAGCCAGCACCAGCACAGCTCTGCGGCCCAGAAAGGTCCAAGGACATTCATTATTCAGTGTGGCAGAGTGGCAGAGTCAAGGTTGGAGTTTAACTCCGATGCCTAGAATCTGACCACCACTTGGAGTCAGCCACCGGAATTACAAGGGAATGTGACCACTCGGGTATCACTAATGGAACATTTCAACACATATTAAGACAACAGTGCCAACTCTTTACAATAACTCTGTGGAATCTGACTTTAGCGGGGGTTGTCTTAAATATTTAATGAGAAGATTTGGATGAGGTTGATGGGTGGAGGGGAGGCTCTAATTAAGCACTTAAAGCTACACTTTGCACATCCCTGGTCACAAAGAAGTTGCACAGCTGGTGAGGGGTAGCAGTGGGATTGGGTCTATGTCTGACTGCAGTCACCTAACCGCGTTTGATATTTACTTGAAAAGAGGAAACCGACTAACACGTAGTGAATCTCTGGGCGACAGGAAAGCAAGCCTTTGAACCCCAAACCCAGGGTCAAGCAAACTAACCTACGTTTAAAAACTCCATCAGCTAAGAGTAGAGCAGGTTACCCAATACCCTGGCTTTAGAGCCCCACCCCTCCGACGCGGCCGCTCTACTGGTGAAGACAAGAGAAAGCACAGAAGGTGTCAACACGGCTCCTGGCCACAACATAAGCCATCAAAGAGTGTTAGGTGTTATTAAGAACAAAAAGGATGGCACGATTCAAATCACCGTTTCTGCACCGTGGGTTCTTTGTCTTGCCAAGTTGCCCCAAACTGTGGGTCGGGCAGGTTCAGAGGGAAAAACAGAGTGACTCCCCCGCTGTGTCACACAAGTTCCTCCCCCGCCCTGGTGTGCAGCCACCTTGGGACTCCACTTTTTTGGCGCCGCGGGGCCGGGCCACTCCGGGGATGCAGAAGTCCGGCAGAGCATCCTTCCCATTCCGCCCGAGGAGGAGGCTGCACGCAGGAGGGGAGCCTGGCTTCCCACGCTGCCTCGGAGTGTGAGGCTGTTAATGTGTCTCCCGTGGCTCCCAGACATTCTCTAGAAAGAAAGCTGCCGTGACTCCCGCTTCAAGCCCAACTTCCTCCCCGGGCGGCTCCCCAGCTCTGCGCTCCCGCCGCGGCTGGGACAGAGCGAGCGGGGAGGAGCGCGGCTGCTGTCCGGGCGGCAAGGCGAGCCGCGCCAGGGGACCCGGCGACCCGGTTCTTCCCGCGCCCCAGCGCCCGCAACCGCTTACCAGACGGCGGCCGCTTCCTGCTCAGTCGGCTCACGGCACGGGTGAACATCGCCGCGGGCGTCCAGAGGACGGAGCAGCCGGGCAGCGCGGCGGCTGAGCCCGAAGAGGGCAAGGAGGAGGAGGAGCCCGCGCGACGCCGCCCCTCCAGGCTCCGCCCGCCGCCTCCTCCCCGCCGCGCTCCCCTCTCCCTGCCCACCCGCGCCCGTGGGCACTGGGTCCAGCCCCCGGTTACCCGCTCAGGGCAGGGCGCGGTGACCCCGGGTGACCCTCAGCTCCCGCGCACATCCCGGTCACTCCCTTCGCGGCCTGGAGACGCACGGCGTTCGGTGTCCCTGCCAGGCCCAAGTCACCTCCCAGATCGCCCCCGGGTCTACCCGATTCCGTGGGCGTGCGGCCTGCTCACGCCGCGAATGCCCGGGAGGCGTCACCAGAGTCCCGAGCCAAGACGCCGCGAGTGGGCGCCCACTCTGGCCCACGCCACGCCTGTGCCGGGGCTTCCAAGCTCCGGGACAGACCCCGGAGAACGCTGCCTGAACCTATGCGGTTCCAGAGTGGATCGGAGCGCGCCGGCACATTTTTTAACTTGGACAACACTTGGGTGCAGTCTCAGGAGGACCTTTGCGCTCAACTACCGGAATCCTGTAGATTCTAGAGCCGGGCTCAACGCTCCTCTCCTGGTGCTTGTCATCGGCTCAGCGCCGCGCTCCACGCTCATCTAGTTTCTTATTACCAAACAGCCCAAGAGGGGGTTGTCGTTAGCCCCGTTTTCTTGAGCATTTGGTTTGCAAGGAATTGTCTTTCTGGCGAGTTTTATTTTTCTCCTTGTGGGTCTGGCTTTGTCTCGAAATTGGTCTTTATTTTTAGCTGTGCTAATTGCTATTTTTCTAAACCATTCCCCAGTCGCCCCCCCCACCCCCCGCGCGTTCTTTCGCAGGATTTTCACTAGTTGGCACTTTCCTTTATATCTTCTATTCTGAGCTTCCCATTTTGGTCTATTTTCCTCCCTTTTTGTCCACCCTGCAGTCCCAACGTCACCTCAGCTCTGGCCCTCTGTGGTTATTCTCCATCTCTCAGTCTACCCTTCCCCACTCCATCATTTCCAAACACGGCCATTTGTGCTATCCAAAGAGGATGTTCCGTCCCCTGAAGGCTGCAGAGGTCTTCAGCTGCGGCTTGCAGGTGAGCACCATCAGAGAGCCTGGCTTCCAAGCGGGGCTTTCTGAATGTTTCCAGCGGCTATTGCCCCCCCCCCCCCCGCAAAAAGCTTCCTGGCCATTGAAAGAGCTCTTAGGTCACAGGCTCTGTAAAAGCTGAGCCTAACCCGACACAGTCATAATGGTGCACTACTTTAATCCCAGCAACTCCAGCACTCTGGAGGCAGAAGCAGGAAGAATCTTTGAGTTAGAGGACACCCTGATATACATACAGTGTCTAGGACAGCCAGGGCTACATAGAGTCAGAAGAAAGGAAGGGAGGGAGGGAGAGAGGGAGGGAAGGAGGGAGGGAGGGAAGGAGGGAAGGAGGGAGGGGGAGGAAGGGAGGAAGGGAGGGAGGGACAAAGGAAGGAAGGAAGGAAAGGAGGGAGAAAGGAAGGGAGGGAGTCAGAAAGAAGGGAGGAAAAGAGGGAAGAAGGGAAGGAGGGGGGAAAGGAACGAAGGAAGGAAAGAGAGAAGATAGAGTCGAACCATCCCAATGAGATCACTGCATTCTGAGAACAGTAACAGAATTTTCCCTGCCCACCTCCATTGAAAGTGTCCCCAGAGGCTGATCACAAATACACTGAGGCTAGCACAGGAAAGGAGGAGACTCTAGCACAATGGAGTAGAAGCTGGACACAGGCAGCCAAACCCAGCACTAACAGTCAGGTTCTCCCCACCATGCCCTCAGCAAGCCTGGTATGGTTTATGATATGCTCTGAGGCCATCCTGAGCTAAGAGCTCCAGGCTTCTTAGACAACGGGAAAGGATGGGGAAGGTTAACAGCCTTAGATCCCTTTCTCTGTCCTGTGAGCTTGTCAAAAGACAAGGGTTAAGAGTGAGTAAACAATTTAATTTTCTTTTTTGTTTGACTCATGAAATTGGTACTGGGGCTGGAGAGATGGTTCAGTGATTAAGAGCACTTGTTCTTGCAGAGGACTAGGGTTCAATTCCCAGCACCCATACGTCATCTCACAGTCATCTGTAACTCCAGTTCCAGGGGATCTTATGTCCTCCTCTGACATTTGCAAGCACCAGACACACATATGGTACACATATATACATGCAGACAAAACACTCATACACATAATGTCCAAAGATCCAAGAGCCAGTATTCACATGTGCAGAAAACCCAGAATAAAAGTAAAAGGTGAGAGACACCTTTGATCCCAGCGTTTGAGGTGGAGTCAGAGGCTGCTGGATCTCTGTGAGTTTGAGGCCAGACCGATCTACATAGAGAACTCTAGATTAGCCAGGGCTACACAGTGAGACCCTGTCTCAAAACAAAATAAAACAAGTGAAGGGGGGAGAGAGAACCACCTCAAGCTGTCAGAGCAGGCTCCCCTTTTCACACAGGTATGTTCTGGGCACAGTCTCTGCCCCAAGTGAAGACATATACCCTCCAATGGATCCTCCAAGTCTCTCTCTCTCTCTCTCTCTCTCTCTCTCTCTCTCTCTCTCTCTCTCACACACACACACACACACACACACACACATGGCTGCTTCTCTCATTTACACCTTCAAATGAAATGATGGCAGCTGATTGGCCAAAAAAGCAAATAGATTAGGCCCCATCTCCCACTGCTGGCTTTACATTTAGATCAAGGACCAGCTATCACAGCAGACACAAAGCAGTGGCCCTGGAGTTCTTCCGGTGGGTTGGGATTTCCAGGAAAAGAGCTTTATAGGTCAGTTGGCTTATTCTACCCAGATGAGGATGGGTGAGATAGCTCGGTAGGTACCAGAACCCACATGGTGGAAAGAGAGAACCGACTCCTGCAAGTTGTCCTCTGACTCCCACATTCACTCCATGGCATGTGCACTCACATTTTGCTTTGCTTGTTGAAATAGGGTCTCTCTATGTAGCCCTGCCTGGCTCTCTTAAAACTCACTATGTAGACCAAGCTAACCTTGAAATTTACAGAGAGCCTCTGCCTTCCTAGTGCTGGGATTAAAGGCATGCACCACTACATGTAGCCCAATAGGTATACTCATACACTTACACAATGTGGGGACTGGAGAGGTACATCCATAAAGAACACTTGCTGCACTTGCAGAGGACCTGGACTCAATTCTCAGGAGCCACCTCGTTATTCACAACCACCTGTGACCCCAGTTCCAGAGGATCTAATAAGCATACATGTGGCATACATACATGCATGCAAGGAAAGCATTCATACACATAAAGTAAGGTAAAAATAAATAAATAAATAAATAAATAAATAAATAAATAAATAAATAAATGTAGTAAAACTTTGGTAAGTCTGGCTGGTGCTGTAGTTTAGTTGCTAGGCAAGCACCAAGCTGTGGGTTTGTGGTATACATTTCTAACACTAGCACTCAGGAGTAGGCGTCAAGAGGATGGGAAATTTAAGATCACCCCTGACTACATAATAGTGAATTTTAAGCTAGTCTATGCTACATGAAACTCAGTCTCAGCTGGGCAGTGGTGGTGCACGCCTTTAATCCCAGCACTTGGGAGGCAGAAGCAGGCAGATTTCTGAGTTCGAGGCCAGCCTGGTCTACAGAGTGAGTTCCAGGACAGCCAGAGCTACACAGAGAAACTCTGTCTCGAAAAACAAAACAAAACCAAAAAAAACAACAAAAACAAAAAAAAACAAAAAACAAAAAAACAAAGACTGGTACCAGGTCACTTGACGTGAGGCCTAGCATTGATCCATTTGTGTATTCAACCTTACCTCAAAGGATTTTACATATGTATTCACATGTAAATATATACATTACATATGATTATGTATGTATGTCATAAAATGAAGATAATTATTCACAGCTTAGCAGTTCTCTCTCTCTCTCTCTCTCTCTCTCTCTCTCTCTCTCTCTCTCTCTCCTAAGTTTCTTTTTCTTTTCTTTTTTTTCTTTTTGGTTTTTCGAGACAGGGTTTCTCTGTGTAGCTCTGGCTGTCCTGGAACTCACTCTGTAGACCAGGCTGGCCTCAAACTCAGAAATCTGCCTGTTTCTGCCTCCCAAGTGCTGGGATTAAAGGCGTGCGCCACCACCACCCGGCGACCTGGTACCAGTCTTGATGGTGCAAACTGACCAGCACTCTCCTCACATATCACAGCGTCATGGACAGGATAACACCTACATTCTGAAGGTGTGGTTGCAGCAATAATAAACACAAAAAGCACCTGGCGTGGTGCCTGGCACATGTAGGAGTACAAAGAAATCACTGGAATCTAGACCACTCGCACGCCCATTGCAAGCTGTTTCCACAAATAGTAAACCTCAGCCTACACACAGGTGGAAAGCTTTTGGGAGTGATTACTTTACTTACGTGTGGTGCTGGGGATGAAACCCAGAGCCTTGCGCATGCTAAGCAAGCTCTCTCTACTACTGAGCTAGACCTCAGTCCTGAATTTTTTTTTAAAATTAAAGGAAGTTGACACAGCATAAACGGTGTGATACTCACAAGGTATAATTACTAATAGTAACTCTTGAAAGATGTAAGGGGAGAGAGAGCAAGCCCCTTACAGCTACTCAGTTGCTCAAGGAGGCAGACACAGTAACATGCTATTTGGCATTGTATATGGGAGTCTGAGATATTTTTGTCCATTGAGCTGGTAAATAATTTGACAACCAGTCATTTTTGCCAAATAATAACAATAATAAGAATAAGCATCAGCACAATTATTACATGTATCACTGCATGTTTCTTCTTGGTGCTATTTATGGTAGATAAAAATACTCATTCAGAAGATGACCAAGCTATATCACACTCCTATGATGGACTATTTAACCGTTCGTTGTAAGAGATCATGTGCTAGAAAGAACTCTGACTACGTTGGTAGAGCCCTTGCCTAGCATGCAGGAAGCCCTGGATTCTACCCCCAGCAACACATAAGCTGGGTGGTGTAGTGAATGGTTTTAACCCTGGCACTCAAGAGTTGGAGGCAGGCAATCAG